TTGACAGGATCAGAATCAGGTTAAAGGATTAGATGTATATATATATATATATATATATATTTTTACACAAAATTGATAACAATTGTGCCTCTTTATTAAGGAAAACGTTTGAATTCAATCTCGTTAAATTTACTCACAGCATCGATTGTGATAACTTGATCACGAGAAATCAGTGGTTGCTTCTCATCAATGGTGATTGCAACATCTTCGGCTTTTGTTGAGATTTCTGTGACAATTTTAGCAGCATCAAGATCTCTTCCTGTAAGAGAAAACACAATTTTACATTTCATATAGAATTTAAAAGAAAAAAAAGATATTTTTAGTTTTTTTATCATACCAAGTTCATCAAATAAAATATTTACACTTCATGATGTCGCAATCAATGGAATAGATAAGAAACTAAAAAATTTAAAAATGTGAAAAGAATATGAATCAATTAAAAAGTAAAAATGTACTAAATTTACGAAAGTTAAAAAAGTTTTTAAAATAGTTAAAATTTCCAAAAGTAAAATTAAAGCAAAAATTTAATTAAAAAAACGTGCAAACATTTATATATAATTTGTAAAATTGAGAATGTGGAAGAACAGAATATTTTAAACCTTTAAGCCCTGACCACTGCTTTGTCGGTAGTAGAAAAAAATGTTTTAATGACCAGCCACCAGTTGAACAGTGGATAAAGTCTTGTAACTATTTTTATATCTACCTTGAAACAACACAAAATAATTATTTGTGAATTTTGATTCAGGAGGGTTAAAATCGTTCAGGAATTGTAGATTAAATAAGTCTATTGCTCTCCCAACGTCACTTGTACAAATCACAATATCACTGGTTCAATTCACCGTCCTCGCTTTCTTCACACGTCACTATGTATAGCCAACATTTCAGTCCCCTTTTTCTTGGCTCCAGCACTCTTTTATCAGGCCAACATCGTGGTTCCCCAGCCAATCAGCATTCTTCGCTGTTACTCTTGGTTACACAGGCAAATTGCCTCCTCCAGTTTGACCAATCAGCACACGACTTGCTATTGGTGGAAGCATTCCAAACTGTACAAAAAACCCTCATCATTGCACATACTGCTAGAATGGCTGGACGGGAGAGTAATGCCATTTTCACGAAGAAAACTTGCTGATGTCACGTGCCACACGTTAAGGTAAGACCCTTATTTCCACTCTGGCTCGCTTGCTTCTACGGGGCTGTTCACCATAAGAATGCAGGGCTCAAAGGGTCAAATGACTTAATGCCCAGCTACCGGTTGAATGGTAGATAAATACTTATAACTATTTTTATATCTACCACATAACATTACATACTAATTATTTGTGAATTTTGACTCAGATGCTCAGGCAGAAGGGTTAAAATTATTCAGGAACACAGGGTTAAGTTGAATGTTAAAATTTAAAGAAAAGAAATGATGAATAAAGAAATCAATTCTAGCATTGAGTTACTGGATTAAGACAGAATTCATGAATTATTGTATTTCCAGAATATGATATATTTATTAGAGTCAGTTGGACATTTTTCCTTGTAGGGATACAAAAGGCACTTATCTCCCTTTGGTGGAAATAAGTCATGTCAGTCACATGACAGCGTCTTGGTGATGTCACACTATACAGTGACAAAAGGTTTTATTCACTATTTTTCGGTTTTGTTATCACTCTTTCCAGTATTTATGGGAGTTTCCTTTTTAACCTTTTGTTTGAAATAGTGTGGAATAGCAACATCTTGATTGTCAACATTTTCCATTCATTTTACATGTGATAGCCATTTTAATTGTTGCTGCTGTTGAAAGTCTTCAAGTGATGTGGTTTCAGTTATTTGGTACAGATCTTTGTGATTCTGTAGCACAATTTCACAAGATTCTAAAAAGGATCGTCCTTGCTAAGACCTACAGGTTTAATTCTTACAAAGCCATTTTCAAACATTGATCTGAGAAAGTAATTGTATAAGGTTGACAGTTTGGACATTTCTGAGTTTAATGTCATGCATGACATCCATATGAAATATCTGTCTGACTTTCTGGGATGATGAGTCATCATTATTTATACTATTTATATTTGGACTATTGCCTTCATCTTTGTTGTTATCACTACATTTTGGACATCATGTCCTTGGGCTTCCCACAGGTGTTTATTGATCTGGGTAATCTACAGAGAATTCTGGGCAACCTTTTATTTCATCTATGGAATGGACTGTTCTGATTCCACTGCTCATGTATAGGGATATCCTCTAGTTCTTATTTACTACTATTCAGTCATTGCTCACCCATTTTCACCAAGTGTAAATACACACTACTCAACCCAAGATGAGCAGGCTGGTTTGAATAGCAAATTGATTTCAGTTGAGGTAGTCTGGAATGAAAAGAACTTGACTATATCATTATTTTCTCTTTAAGTGATATGTGCTATTCATTTTATTTGTTGCTGCTGTTGGTAGTCCTCAAGTGATATACTTTCTGAAGAATAACAAATTTCATTGAAAACCCCTTTTTTTCTTTATTTTAAATGTCATGTTCTTTCAGGATGTTTGTGATCATGGCTCTCCACATATTTCTTTTCTTTATTAAATGCAGAATGTAACTTAGAAACTTTACTGTGGTGATCCCTTTTGGTAGATTTTGGGTATATTTTAGTATTTCTCATCAGCCTGTCACTAAAGAGCAGCTAACGACTAGTACAAAGTTGTTCATCTGCCTTATTCTACCTATGTGTTAAGATGGGTAACTCTTTTCCGTGATCATCATTGTCCTTCAACTTTCCACACTATTTGGTCCTGCGTTGATGTCCCCAGATCCTGAATGTCCAACCCTGATTCTCAAGCTACAGTGTCTGGTAAATCCAATTTTTGTGAGAAGACACTTCCAGAAGGATGCCATACGAGTAAGGATGAGATGATTTCCCTGTCTATCCGGTAGCAGTGGCCGGCAAACTGTAATCATTTTTGTTTGAGTTTAAGAGAGATTGGTCACAGTTCTCCATAAATTGTGTTAAGTGTTTCATGGGATCTCCAACGGATATTCTGAATCTTTCTAAGTATATTTGTGTATGTTCCATCCAGTCATCTTTCAGGGTGAGATATAGACTTCTTTGATATGTCATTAACTCTAGTGCAAAATTTTGGTAAACTTGGGAACAAAGAAAAATAATTAAAATGATTATTTGCACCTTATTCTGAATGTGCAGATGGCATAATAGAAACAGCATACTGGATTCAAATTTTGACCATGTCTGCATCATTCTCTTTTCATTTGCATTCCCTTGGAAAATGTATAAATATATGTTCAAGATTTTACTCACCTGGGAAGAGTTTCTTTAGGGCATCTTTAGCTCGTTTTGTTGTCGGTACATACATGAATTTGGATAAAGATTTAATTATATGACTCCCAACAAGCACAAATCTCCCAAAACTGCGGCAGTCTACACAACGTATTGTTATCGGTGGACAATATAGCTCATTCTCTGGTAATTCCTGAAAGAAGTGAAAAGATGAGGGTCATGAAGTTTTTATGTAGTTCACAGTGTTGAAAGATGTAACATATCCATTTTGAGAATGATTGATTCATGCTTCCAAAATGCTTTAGACAAAATCTATCACCTATTCCAAAACTTTCATATACATTTAGCAGAAAGGCTCCACAGTTGTAAAAATATGCTCAAAAAAGTCTAATGATTGATTCAAACAAATAGAAATTATCACATTCTCAAAAATACCTAATGGTTGATTTACTCAGAGATTATTGCTACATCAAAAATGTCTAATGAGTAATTCACAGAGAGATTATCACTATATCAAAAAATCGTAATGGTTGATTTACTCAGAGATTATTGCTAAAAATACCTAATGGGTGATTCATTCAGACAGATATTATCACCATTTTTTAAACTTAAAGCCTCTGATGAAATAAATTTCTTAGTTTCATCAATTCTAACATTGATTCTTAAAAAGACACCAAAACAGATAAAAACAGTTTATACTTACAACATCAAAGAATTTTACAAGTATGCTGAAATTTGGATTTTTCTTAGCATTTGCAATTACTGAAGACTGCAGGACATGTCCTGCGCACTCAATGTCAATGCGTGGACGATCAACATGTGTCAACTGCAGTCTCTTCAAATCTCTCACGCCCCAGAACAGAACCTGGAAAAAAAAAAATTTGAAAATCCATTATATATATATATATATATATATATAATACTGACTTCTATGAGAACTTTCTGTGAGATTAAACCATCAACATAATCCTTAACTGTGTGTAAAAATAATTTCATTCCACTTGGTTGGTGCTTCAGCTACATTCACCACTAGTGTGTGTGTGTGTATATATATATATATATATAATTTATTTGAAAATTATTACATAAATATGTTATAAAATCACTACAAAAATAGCTATTTTGTTTCAACACTTCTGGTGTCTTATCAAGTGATGGTGTTGAATGTAGAATAAAGAGTTTTAAAAGGTTCAACCAAACACCCCTCAATAAGGGAAATGCTGTTATATAAGCTGCAATGACCAATCAAAATACAAGTATATGAGAATTCAAAGAAACTTGGTTATAATAATTAATACCTTAATGTTAGGGTTAGACTAAAATAGAAATCATTCTGATTAATTAATATTAAATTCTACTATAAAATTGAAAATTAAAAATTACCAATGTTAAATTTAACCTGTATTAAGTTTAAAATATTATAAAATTCTTTAAAGAAGAAATTGAGGAAAAAATACATATTTTGTTATTTATTTTAATTGAAAAGCCAAAATCCCAGAATAAACATTAATCTAATGGGGGTGTAAAACATGTTTATGTTTTAATTTTCAAATAAATTATATTTGTTCTACTCTGTATTGAGCACTCTTTCAAGAATAGTATTTTTGGTTATTGGAATTTATTCCATATGCACCAATCCTGTGTGTGTGTGTGTGTGTATATATATATATATATATATGTTTGTGTGTGTGTGTGTGTGTGTGTGTGTGTATATATATAAAGCCTCATCACAAACAGAGCAGGTTTACGGCTCTGTCTTAGTCTATCTGTTGTAGACATTGAGCACATTCATTATTGCATAGGGAGGTGTCTTTTGCTTCCTTTCCCTCTTTTTTCTTCATTTTTTATTTTTTTTATTTTGCATTCATTTGATCGGCTTTGTATTGGTAGAGTTGTATTTGCAAGCTTTAACAATACTTTGGTCTGTGTGCATATATATATATATATATATATATATATATGTGTGTGTGTTTCATTTTTATAGATCGGTTGATATATGTATGGTTTGCACTGATAGTGAAAAGACAGACATGTCTGGATTAACTTGAGTCTAAAAATTAGACATATGTCCAGTTTACATGTGATTGAAAAAGGTAGACATCAATGATAGTTAAAAAAGGTAAACATATTTTTGGTTTATACTTGAGCCTGCAAATATCCACCTGAAAGGTTGTCCATTTTTTTTGAATGTGGTAGATCTTACTCTTTTACAGGGGATATAGGCAACATATTCTAAAAGCCTTACCATCAGGATGAAATAAAACTCATAATATTACTACGAATAATACTAGTAGTTGTAATAGGAGTGACAGTGACTTACCAGGAGCAAAGCGAATTCGTTGCCTCGCGTGTCGAACCATTCTCTGAGAGTCGGTCGCGCGTGCGCCTACTGCCATTTTTATGCAGCAGACTTATTTGCATAAGAGAACCACGCTACCGATTAAAAACCCTTTTCTAGGCTTCGGCGAGACTAGACGGATTGCAGAAAGAAAGTGACTTCTGGACATACGACAAGCTATTTCGGCGAACATGGACGGCCGGTTTGATTTAAAGATAATTCCAGAGTTTGACGGGACTGGATCTGTGGTTGAATGGCTCGAGAAATTGGAATTGGTGTGCGACCTATCGGGAGTGAAGCGATTTTTGATCGTGTCATCCCCTTCGCTTAACCAGGGGAGCATTCGCGGTTTACCAGCAACTATCTACGGAAGAGAAATCGGACGTGGCTCGAATCAAGGGAGCATTGATGACAGCATTTGCCCCTGATAAATTCACGGCATACGAACAATTCGAGGCACGTATATTACGTCCGGGTGAGACCGTAGATGTATATTTGGCTGATCTACGGAAGCTCTCCGTCCTTTTGGAGGAGTGCCAGACAGTGCGATGGCATGCGTGTTCGTGCGGGGGCTTCCTGATCCTGTGAAAAGGCTCCTGCGGTCCTCGGCCAGGGCGGATGATATGTCTCTCGAGGAGCTATTGGCCCGAGCTCGGGCAATCATAAAGGACGAGACAGCAGAGAGGGAACCAGTCGTCGCTGCGGTGCAGCCCTCCCAGATTCCCCGTTCTTCCCCAGACATGGGCCCACTTGTCACATGCTATGAATGTAATGGGCCCAATCACTTCGCGAGGGACTGCATGAAGAGGCGAAGGGCAACTAACGCACGTTGCTATCGATGCAACAAGACCGGTCATCTGGCCAAAAATTGTCCGGGAAACGGAGGCGGGGACGAGACTTCAGCGCCGGTCCACTCCCCAAACAGCAAGTAAACTCGGTGCTACCCATCATTACTGTGTGTGTTGACGGCACACCATGCTCGGCTCTCCTTGACTCAGGGTGCTCATGGTCAATCTTGAGCGCGAGTTTATGTCGGTCTTGGTCGAAGCAGGGTATGGCGGTATCTACCTTAACCGGAGCCACGCAGGCTTGCTGTGGAAGGGGCACCGTCAGAATTTGCACAGCAACTGGTAATACTGCTACAATCGATGTGCTGGTTATGCGAGGAAGCCCTGGATTTCGACCTGTTGCTTGGCATTGACGCCATTAAGGCACTCGGTGGAGTTCGCATCACGCAGCATGGGAGCGTGGAGTTTGAAAAACCACGGTCCGTCTGTGCAGCGATTCGTATCAGCGAAGCCGATTTCAGTGCGAAATTCAATGAACGGCAGGGAGTTTGGGTCGCAGCCTGGAAGTGGTCGGCAGGTCATGCACCAGGAAACTTCAGAATCGGATCTCTGAGTATCCAGTATCCACCGAGATGAGAGAGGAGTACGAGCATGAATTACAAACATGGATGGACAATGGTTGGTTGGTGCCGTACAGTAACAAGGAGTTTGGCCCGCCCAAGGGACTGATACCACTGATGGCCGTGCTGCAGACCAACAAGCATAAGGTGCGTCCTGTGATGGACTATAGGGAACTAAATACCTACGTTGAAACATTCACAGGTGCCGCGGATGTTTGCGCAGAAAAACTGCGAGACTGGAGACAGCATGGTGCGAACGTGTCCATTCTGGACCTCAGGAAAGCATATCTACAGATTCGTGTTGAAAAATCCCTGTGGCCATATCAAACAGTTGTGTTTAAAGGGAAGAGATATTGTTTGACCAGGCTGGGGTTCGGCCTGAATGTGGCGCCCCTGATAATGCGAGCTGTGCTTAATGCTGTGTTAGCACAGAATGAAACTATAAATAGAGCAACGTCTGCATATATTGATGATATATATATCAACGAGGATGTGGCGTCGGCGGAATCTGTGAGGAAACATCTCGAGCTCTACGGACTGACGAGCAAGGATCCAGAGAAGTTACAGGACGGAGCTAGAGTGCTGGGGCTAGAAGTATGGAAGGAACAGGGTCGACTGCGATGGCGACGAGGAAGCAGAATGGTAGACGGCCCTATGACTATGACACGGAGAGGTATTTTCTCCATGTGTGGCCGGCTGGTGGGACACTTCCCCGTGTGTGGATGGCTGCGAGTGGCGACAGGCGTCATCAAACGTCGAGCCACTGCCGTAACGCAGAACTGAGATTCATCGACACAGCGGGCACCCTGGAGTTAAACGGACACTATATTTCGCACGTAGGATCAACCCGTCCGTGTCGAAAGCAGCAGTAAGATCGGTCGTTCGAAGTTGTGAACAGTGTCAGTCAATAGATCCAGCTTCTGTGCGATGGCAGAAGGGAGAGCTCAGTGTGCGTGAAACTTGGAGTCGTCTGGGAATGGACATTACACACTATAACGGTCGCCATTTTTTGACTCTGATCGATTGCGGCCCCACACGGTTTTCGATCTGGCGACCACTAGTTCGGCAAGACGCTGCACACGTAATCCGGCAATTGGAGTCGGTGTTTTTCGAACGTGGTGCCCCGGTAGAAATCCTGGCTGATAATGACACTGCATTCCGCAGTCAGCAATTTAAACAATTCATGGAAGAATGGGGCGTCCGATTCCGACCGCGCTGCGCGTACAAACCATCTGGAAATGGTATTGTAGAGAGGTGTCATCGGACAATCAAACGGATTGCTGCGCGAAAGAGCTGCTCTATTATGGAGGCCGTGTATTGGTATAACATTACACCCAGGGATGATGTGTCTGCCTCTTCTGCGCCCGCCAATCTGCTGCATTCGTACAGAATTCGAATAAAAGGAATTGACATTGTGCCCTCGCCTAACCGGGCGACTTCGACTCGGTATAAAGAAGGAGACGCAGTTTGGGTAAAAAATCCGCACGGACGCTGCACGTCAAAGTTTGTGAAAGGTCGTGTCACGGGAATAAACAGTCCGCAGTCTGTAGTCATCGACGGGATACCGCGACACGTGGGAGATGTACGTCCACGGCTCACTTCATTGTTACCAACGGATGATGGCGGTGGCACAACGTCAGGGAGTAATGAATGGCAAGAACCAAGCTCCAGTGCAAGCAGCAGCGACACCTCATCTGAAAGCGAGAAAGAAGTAGACTTGAACCTTAATGATCCCCCGGAATATGATTCAGACCAGGACACATCTGACGATTCAGCCGGGGAGGAAGTCATGGTTATACCACCGCGAAGAAGTGCAAGGGTGAAATGACCAGCCCCTCACTGTCACTTATGTGATCATACGATCAGGGGGGTGTAATAGGAGTGACAGTGACTTACCAGGAGCAAAGCGAATTCGTTGCCTCGCGTGTCGAACCATTCTCTGAGAGTCGGTCGCGCGTGCGCCTACTGCCATTTTTATGCAGCAGACTTATTTGCATAAGAGAACCACGCTACCGATTAAAAACCCGGCGAGTGGACGTGGGAGGCCACTGCTTTTCTAGGCTTTGGCGAGACTAGACGGATTGCAGACAGAAAGCGACTTCTGGACATACGACAGTAGTGCATATGCAAAAAAAAAGCAACATCAAAACTTGTTTTCAGTTCAGTTTTGGAAGTGAAGAGTGCATTTGTATGGTTTAATTTCATCTTCTGCCACTCAATGGGGTCTTGTAGTACTAATAGTAGAGCAGCTGACATGGGAAGGCAGGCTCCCTCAAGCAAAAGGATATAGAATGACATATTATAAGATAAAGAACAAATCGTAAATATTTATCAAGCTAATATGTTTAACTTTATTAAAGCTTCCTCAGAGAAGGAGATATGGAGAAAGAGAAGAAAGAAATTCTGGTATGTTTTACTATTGTGTTGTTTGATTTTCATTGGTTAATCAGGTTTCACATGCATTCGACTTGCTAAACCAATGTTAGTATAATTTTTGGCAATATGGTTTTTCATTTAGGCTAGGAATCCATTAATTTCTTGAAACTTCAGATGGATGTGTCATCTCATCAAAAATTATACTAATGTTTGTTTAACAAGTCGAGTGCACATGAACCATGATTAATCAAACAACACAAAAGTAAAAATGCCAGAAAGAAATTCTAATATTTTTACTTTTGTGATGCTTGATTATTATTGGTTAATCAGGTTTCATGGGTCTTTGACTTGTTAAACAAATGTTAGTAAAATTTGTAGCATTCTGAATTCAAGGTTATATATATATATATATATATATATATATATATATATAGTGTGTGTGTGTAAATTATAAAAAGCCATCTTTATTACTTTATGAGTGTCTCACAGGATAGCTGAAATATGGATGACAATGAATGACAACTCCACAATAGCAAAAGTATCATTCTAAGATTAATACTCTGTCATATATGATGGGCAACATTCATAATCCATAAACATGAATGAAATTTGGAAATCCAAAATGTGTGTGATTTACAAATCTACTTACTTCTACTCGGTGTTTGCTTAGGATTGGACGAATGCCCTTTGGAACTGGCATCAAGGTTCCTCGATCAGAATCCATAGCTTCCGGCATATCCATAGGTGGCAAATCTTGTCCACTCATATCTCCAAATGGTGCAAGCTATAAATAAGAAAATACTTCTTAGAATATGAGCTGGGGGGAAAGCAAAAAAAAAACAAAAAAAAAACAGAGTCAGCAAACATGGACTTCTATGTCAAGAAAACAAAACAAAACAAAAAAAAAAAGAAGCAGTTGTTTCAAAAGGATGGTTTTTCCATTGACACCATTATTTTTGTAACTATTTTCACTCCCTTGGCAATGTTTATTTACAAAAATATAAAAAAATGGTTTACTTTTTCTAAAAGATTCATTATTTACTATTTTATAAAGAAATAAATGTAAAAAGAAATCTTTTTATTCAAATTTTTAAAAAAATTACAAAATTAATCAAAATATGTAAACCATCAATTAATCAAAATATGTAAACCATACAATATTTATTATTTACTGTTTTATAAATAATGATAAAAACAAGTTTTTTTTATTCATAATTTGACAGTTAATTACCATAATTCCCCATGTATAATACACAATTTTTTCTAAAAAATAATAAGCAAAATTAGGGGTGCATTTTATGCACAACTACAAAAATATCTTTAAAAAATTGTGTTTCATTAGCTGATTTCAGTATGCAAAATGACTACTACAAACATATGACAATTTGACACTAATATTTGGCCATTGCAACCCCATAAGGATACAAAATACAATCACATGTACCTAACAATAATAAAAATGTAAAATAAAATAAGAATTATCAAAAAAAAAAACTAAATTAGAATAATATTATTCTATGTTTAAAACCATTTTTTTTTTTAATAAGAGTAGGAAATGCTGGCCATATTGAAATTGAAGAGGTACAATTTATAGGGTTTGATTACCAAACAGGGGGTGCATATTATATGTGAATAGAAGCATTCCCCCCACCACCACCACTTTCAGCACAACTTTAGAGGTGCGTATTATGGATGAAGGTGTATTGTACATGGGGGAATTATGGTATTTTTTAAAAAATTACTTCATTTATAGAGGGTTCACATATTTTGATAATTTTGTAATTTTATTTTAATTTTTGAATAAAAACATTTTTTTTTCACATTTATTCCTTTAGAAAATGGTAAATAATGAATCTTTATAAAAAGGTAAATCATTTTTTATAATCTTGTAAATAAACATTGCCAATAGAGTGAACGTTGTTAAAATAATAATGGTGTCAATGGAAGAACCGTCCTTTTTTATAATACCATTTTCTCACAGGCACAAAAGTCCATGTTTGTCAGAGTCACCAATCTATAATTTTACAAGGACTTACCATAATTTTGTTAAGGTTTTTGTTTTGATAAAACTTACTAGTAAAATGCAGTCAGTACTCTTGATACAAGTAATCAGTCCAAGAGGTCTTCAGATTATTGATCTCATTTTTCTTTCCTTTTGGTCATTAAATAGTTTATAATATATTTTGTTCCATATATGATACATCAGGCATAAAAATTCATTTTAATGGTAATTATTATATAGTGTTGACTTTGATTATTTTATATCTATATATACGAATGCTGTCGATTAGCCAAGGGAAGTAACTCAAAAAGAATTAATCAAAATTTACACCACTTAGCATGTCATGAAAGATATGAATAAATACACAATGCTAATTATTATATAGAGTTGAAGATCCAAATTTTGTCTTTTTGTTAAAATAACACAGCAAAAACAGCACATCATAGCACAACTTTTGTTTGTGAAATACTGTTAAAAGGCTCTAAATTGAATAATAAAGCAATTTATAGTCAAAATGCAGTGACTGATGTCCAAGCTAACTAATTTCTAATTAAGTATAAACTGACACATACACATGTACACGCACAAAAATGTTTGACAAAGTGAAATAAGTATAGGTCTAGTAACAGTTTATAGACTTGTTTTTCTTTTATTTCATGAGAAAATGATAGAAATAAGGAGAGACCTGTCAATACTCTCTTCATCAACTATTGTAGCAAATTACTTAATAATAGTAATAATGACTATTAAAGTAATTCCTGTAGTAATGGGTGTACCTGGAACACCACATAGAAACTTGAAAGAATGCTTAGAAATAATTAGAATTAATACCAAGATTATAGAAAAAATGCCATCAATTACTCTGCAAGTATTCTCTAAAATTTTCTTGAGTTGCAAAGAATCTTGTTGACAATATGCCTCAGGTACTGAATTTTCATTGACTACATGAATGGTTGACATCAACATAATAATAATAATAATAATAAAACTTGGTGATAATCATCATTTTCAAGTAATTATAATATAAATTCAATAAATAGTACTTTTTTACAATAATGTTCACCCTGAAGAAGGCCCAAGAGCCACTCGAGGTAGAGGGTCACAGAGTAAGCAGCAAGAGGTACAGTTTATGATGAACATGGGAAAGATAACGGTTAACCCTAAATTTGAATAGGTTAAGATTGTGATTGGAGAAGCATCCTCTTCAGAGTTGGTTCCACAAAGTAGTGAAGTGGACGCTGCTAAAGGATTCATTTAATGGAGTATATGTAATGAAATGCAATGTGATTGGTTATGGTCTGGTAGCTTTGGTTTCAGTCACTTTCACACTGCTGTAATGTAGTTTCCCCATGCCTTTTCCACAAATACTTTCATGGTAATTGTTTGGATGGAATTTAAGTGCAGTACCAGTTTGGTGGCAAGATCTCGTGTCACATTTGAAATGGTTAGATGTACCTATAAGCTCAATGCTAACAGTTTTTTTTCTCATACTTCTCATTTATAAAACTTTCTCTTTCAGCATCTTGTTTTCCAGTCAACTTTGATCTTCAAAAATTTCAATGCAATGTCAATTATTATTTTCTGTCTTTCTCTTCTGTTATTGTTCCTTAATAATGTTCTTTTTCTTAGATTCTTAGTAACCCACTGCATCTTAGTGGCTTTGCTACCTTGCTTGGGGTGAAATGGTGAAAAAGAAAGAAAAAATGCCAACGTTTTGATGTATTTGTTTACTAAATAACAGTCATGATATGACGCGCCATATGAACATTTGTGAGCTAAAAATTATAACATTTTTTTTCAGAGGTCACTAATGAAAAAAGATAAATAATTGAGGTGACTCCTTAAAAGACATTCTGAACTAATAAATAAAGTAAAATTAATTAAATTAAAGCAATTATAAACAAATAAAACTAATGTAGGTAAATCTAAAGAGTTTAAGTCAGTGGCTCTCAACCAAAGTCTATATGCAACCCTGGTGGCGGGGGTTCATGTAACATTACTGAGGTTCACACAAAAAATAGCAAATTGGGGGTCCACAGTAATATTTTAGTGGTCCATAGAGCAATTTCACTTCGGAACGATTGTTACAACTAAGAATCGGAATTTCTACAGTAATCTACACCATATTTAAATACTAAAAATAGAAAAACAACACTAAAACTAGCAGAAAATGAGATTAAGCGATGTAAGTTTTAGCATCCCTTTTACTCTGCCAGATGTTTTGATTGTTGAATAAAAACTGAGGATATGCAAACGAAGGAATATATATATATATATTATATAAAAGACCATAATTTATTATATAAATTAATTTAATATATTAATAATATTAGTTTTAAATATTAAAATAAAGTGTTAATATAAATTAATTAATATAAAATATTACAAAAAATATTAATAATAAAATTAATGCATGAATTATATAACAATTATATATAAAGGAAGGAATAACAGTTTGTCTCTCTCAAATGAGGTATTATATTTATTTTCATCATTTAGACCATTTTCTTCATCTTCATTGCCATATTCATGGCCAGAAGAGGCATGGCACGTGAAACTAGAACACTACCTCGGTGGATGAAATCAAGAATTTGGTTCAAATTTCCAATCACCTGAATAAGATTGGAGCATACAACAGCCAAAATGTTGTGAATATTGCAATGACGATGAGGATAACAGTCCAAATAGTGTAAATAATGTTAGTAAGGATTGACAGTATTAACCTCCTTAGCAGTATCAACCACAGGGATCTCATTGAATAAATCTGAACTTTTTTTAATTTATTTATTATTCACATATTTTAAAATGGTTTATTATGAGTTATTTTACTAGTGTACATAAATTTTCTATAGAATTTAGTTGTTAAATACAAGTTTATTTTTATTAGTTTTACTTCAAAACAAAACATATACATTTACTATTTTGATAATAAAATTCCTATACTTATGTATTAGTAAAAAATAAAATGAGTTTTTTTTTTTCATCAAATGGGGAAAGGGTATACAAAAAAATGAAAAGTAAAAGTTGTTCATAGGTAAAAAAAAAAAAAAAAAAGGTTGCGAACCACTGATTTAAGTCATAAAGAAAACAGAATAACCCAAAGAATGGTGAAAGTTTCATTAAAGATCGAAACAGATTTATTGAATGTTTGCATGTAGAATGAGGTCTTGCGGATTTCAGAATGTTTTATGTTCACCTTTGTGATGTATATTTAATTCTACTGTATATCTACTTGAGTATAGTGCAAGTTTCTATGATCAGTTTCTTATGAAAAAAAAAAAAAATAGGGGTTAGCACCATCAATTTTTTTGAAGAAGTTAAAAATCATGCATATTCAGTGATTGGTTGCATTATACACATAACTTTTTTTTTTTCTAGAGGGATTAAAATTCATGCATTTTTGACTACCATAACCTACCTGGTAGGCCTACATTCTCACAGTACCTTTGGCTAACATTACAGGTAAGCTCCTTTAGCTTGATCCCACTTGACTATTTATTTGCTATAAGATATGTCCGGGATGATTCCCAGTACTGAATTATTTGACAACTAGTATTGCTCAGAAGCTGGGGTCACATCATACATGAGCAATATGAAAAAACCTGGTTTTTCACAAAAAAATTCAGGGATTGCACTACCTGAAGTAGGCTTATACACAGGTGTACACAGTATGTAGTAAAAAGTGAATTTTGTTTTTAGCTGTGTGTCATAACAAACACATTTTGTGTATGGCTATGTATCCTAACACATTTTGTGAATAACTGCATGTTTTAACATATTTC